CCGTATTCTCTCCCACGCGCGCGCGCGCGCGCACACAGCGCGGCAGAGTTCTAAAGTGAATTTAAACTAGCGACCCGACCGAGCGCCGGTTTTTATTAGCCGCAATTCACCGAGAATAAACACGATGAATTTCTGGATATCTCGACGCGTTTCCGTCCTCCGCGTTGTATAACTTTACCGTCATCCGTGGCTGTCTTTCTATAGGCGCGTAATCGCGCTAACTTCCGGCGCTCGTTAATCGACCGTAACGATAAAAGCGGCTTAATTGCTTGCGTTAGTTCCTCTCCGTGTACAAGATGTATGGAAGTACAACTGAGATTCCGCTATTAATCTTATAAATCTAATTCGCGCGCTCTCTTATACCACGCTGGTTTGACTGAGACTTCTTCCAAGTGGAATTCTTAACTTCCCGAGTTTGGACTTTGTATACTAATTACTTGTCCGATCAAGTATCTTTTCGCGATCCCTGTGGGGATACGCGTTTGATCAGACGCTGCACTGGCTGCACAGCTAAAGTTTAGCGGGAGAAACCTTAATGCCAGCACGAGCTCTGTGTCAAATCGTATTTTCAGACACGCGGGCGCAACTACGGAGTAAATTTCTTGTTCCAAAGTTTCTACAATTGCTCATCTTTGCACGGGGGGAGGGGGGATTCTTCCTTTAATCTCACGCACGCTTGTAATCACAAGGTGTCATAACGAGCAGCCTCCAAGTTCCTCGTTAGCAGCACTGCCGCGATGCCGTTGTTGAAATATCATATCGGAGATCTATGTGAGACTCAAAAGAGGAAATGAAGCAAGTCAGACAGCGTCTATGATCATATATTTCTTTAAAGGAATTGTACATATATATAATTTCTTCTTTATTTATTTTTTCAACACATACTTAAAATATAATAATAATATACAATGTATACACATACATATATCATTTTTATAATATATAACATATACATATATATGTATATATATATATATATATGTATATATATATTATAAAGAGATATCACATATGTGATGTATTATATTTTACACGACGCAAAGCGACTGTAGTGCAAATAGATAAAAATTATTATAGTGCATTATTATGGCTATCTGCTTTTTTCGTTCGCAAATACAATATTTGTGCCTCTGTCCTTTGCAGAGCCATATCGGAGAATTGCGACTCTCGAGGTCTCCGGAGATTGTTTGGTCGTATCGTTGCATTGTATTACCAATATTCAACAGAAAACGTTCGTGTCGTTCTGTTTCTGAGAAAATACAGATACCCTGTGGAGCTTTATGTATTCAATCCGCGCTTTCTAATGGAAACCTGTTACGATTTGCGAGGAATTAGCGATATTAACTTGCCGGATCCTCCGTAAATCTGCTACAGATCCCACGAGATTGACCAAGACCAACATGCGAATTGGATGTACATGTATGAATTATATCAAGCAGCAGATATGGTGCAAACAATGCTAATGAGCGGCAAGCTTGAAACGGACAGATAATCACGCAAACAGAGATCACATTACGAAATAGTAAACGTAATACCTTCGTTGCTTTAACGGTTATTGTTACTTTTTTCAAAATTTTCAAGTTATTAATGTTGCAGTCAAAGAAGCTTATAATACGCTTCGATAGTGTATAATGCATTCAGGCTGATACTTTTTGTCCCCATCGCGCTCCCATCGTAACAAAATACACGAAAGCCTTGAATATCACGGTGACGCAAAGCGTTTCGCTGAGCATCAAGCTGTTCCACTGGTAATCTCCGGCCATTTTTCAAAAATGCTTTCCGAGGGATTTAAGGACAGTAAATGCGAAATCCTTTGGAAAATTGTACAGTGCTTTAAAAATTAAGACTAAAATAATTCAGAGGGATTCATTCGAAGGTATGCGGCTCAAGCGCAAAAAATACGAAAGACGTTTTTCTCATAACACACACATTCACCCATTTTTTTCAGTTTTTGTGTCTGTGATTTTTATATATTTCTATCGAAATATTTATTTCATGAGGAAACCATTCCACTTTTGAAAATATAAAAATTAGGAATGCAAGACGCTATTGTATTATTAATCAATAAAATAGAATCTATAGAGGATATAAAGACCAATAAAACGAGCAAACAAAGGTATTCTAATATAATTTTATTCAATAAAATTAAAGAAGAATGTTTCAACTGTACTAAGTCTTCTTCAGCCGCTAATACATATAAAATTCTAAAATACAATCAATTACATTTATCTTAGTCGAAGAACACGTAACATTTCTCTTCTGGCGTGAGTTATAGTGTTCAGAATTTAAAATTAAGATTACTGTCTGAAGCCGTCGTTACTCACCTTTTCTTTTAACGATCTTTGTATTGTTCGATTCAATTATTGACAATCAATCTAGAGGTACGCAGATTCCATTACAACGTGGTCCTCTTCGATCAACGTCTTTTTGGCAACTCGTCTTAATCAATTATTAATCAATTTGTAATTGAGTACCTTGTACAATTACCGTACCTTTTTTAACTTAATAGGTAACTGAAATAATTGAATATAAATTAATCTGTCAGTACTACTCGTATAAAATATTACTCTCATTCGTGTTTTAACTGAAATAAAAGCGAACGTGTCGGATTAGCTAAAAACAATAGCAAACATACCTAAGGGATTCTAGGCGGATTACTTATTCCTTATTTAAACGCAGCTAATGGTCGAGCGCAGCTCGTAGTCGATGAGATAAGAAATACCGAAAGAAAGTCGTCGCGAGCATTTCCGGGAGGATCAGAGTACTTAACGTGTTACAGCGAAAACGGAGAAACGGAAAAAGAATGGCGAAGAAGAGAGAGCTACAGCGGCGGTGGCGAACAATACTGCGGAATGAGAGATGGAAGGTGGCTAATGCGCATCCACTCCGTTACAGATAAATGGATTAGTTAGTTACGACGCGGAACGAAAAGTAAAAGAGCGCGCGCGTCGGACTGAGAGAATGCTATCAGGAAGGGTTAAGGTCTGATGAAAAACGGCGGACGGGGAGGGACCGGTGATTTGGCGAGACGTAAATACTAAGGGAGCTCGTTACCGCTTACGATGTTTCCATTCATCCTGTTGCTCGATTGAACACTATTTTCCTTTATCTCTAGGTAGAAAATGGTTCATTTTTTTTAACGTTTAATTTAATGAAAAAAATATTTAATTTGGTAAATGTAGTATTACATATTTTTATGGTAGATTATAAATGTCTATGTAGCTTATATTAATTGTGCATCAATGAAAGAAATTAAAGAAGAAAAGAAGAATATTTAATTTTTACATAAAAGAACCGTGGCTCTTCTCATCCTAAATCTTGTGAATCTCATTTTTATATATTTTTATATTATAAAAATGTATTAATCATAATGATACTGCAATAACGTTTATTAAATTACTGTTATTTATATGTAAGGATGTTAATTAATGTAGATATTATAGTATATATTACGTGTATTATTGATACATTATTTTTATTATACATTACTGATATATCATCTTATTATCAGTATCAAATTATAAACAGCATTATCAAGCTAAATTAGACATTCTACACGAGCGCGAATGGACAATACGGCGTTAGTCGGTCCGCGATGTCGGCGTTGACTTTTATCGGATTTTCATAAAAAGCTGGCCATTCATCAGGCCAAATGCTAATCGGCAGTGCTGGTCATCGCTGTTAACTATCGCTCACCATCCTTCACGCCATAAAATCGCCTCTGGTGCTAGGTCAGGAATGCGTCCTGCCGCTTTTTCGCGTCAAAGAACGCCCGTTAATTTCCGTAAACGACCCGAGGCACTTTGCGATGAGAGTCTGAATGAGGGAGAAGATTAATCCTCTTCAATACGCAACGTCCTTAAGTATTCCATTCCCCTAAAGAACGGACTCTGGTTGTCAGATAGGCGAGGACGATGTGTGTCTAGGCTCACTCTCTACGGTTGTTCGATGAATTGGAAGTATATTTCGCAAGAAGACTTTCAAACGTGACATCTTTGAAAAATTTTCCGCAGAAAGGCGACCTTTGACACACTATTGATAGCCCGGCGGCTATGTAATCGGTGTCAGTCCGATGAATAGGTGTTATTAGAATGCACTCTCCATTCAAGAACACGTTGCCGGCGTACCGTGCGAAGATGGTGATTCTTCACGTAGGCATTTTTCTTTTAACGACTCCGTTCCGTTTTTGCATTTTCAGTATCAGGTCGACGATGAGCTTTGCTTGTTTATCTGTTTTGCTTCATAAAGATATTATATGTTCTCATATGTTGCTATAACAATTAACTGAGAGATATTGAGATTCCTTAATAAATATTAATGCTATACATATATGTATTAATTATGTTGTTTGACATGTAGGCATAACGTCTACGTATACGTGTTTGTAATGTATAATTACGTAATATATTATCTAGTGAATATTAGAGATATATACAGCATATATATGTTATATACGTATATGTATATGATATACTTTGTATGCCGTTACCCTGCGAGCCATTTGATCTTGCAATATTAATTAGCAATTAGTATATTATACGTTGAACTTTGAGAACCGATCTTTATTATAAAAATTAACAATATGTGATTGTACGGTAGAAGAAACGCAAAAACGAATAATCGAATCGCCCCTGAATTATCTTTTAATTATATAGTAATATTGAATACATTTAACGTTTGAATTTGGAAATTTCAAAATTCTAGCTTAAGCTAGATATTATCTTAGATCTTAGAGCAAGGCGAATTGGCACGAACGAAATATGTACAATAATATAGATGGCACTATAGAGAAGTTATTTAGTATGCAAGCCACGAATAAGCGCACTCATAGGAGTAAAACTGTGCGTAATCTCCGTTATATGAGATTCAGCCTCGCTCGGGGCTTGCAGTTTATTAGCATAGATGGACGAACTTTGATCGTTTGAGAGTATTATCACTATGGAACGGAATGGTGTTCCACTTTAAGGATTAACGCGATCATAGTCGTGCTTACTTTCCAGGTGCTATATTCACTCATGACCAAAAGGATAGCAGCACGGAGCTGGCCTTCAAGTACGCCGTTTACAAGATCAACAAGGACAAAATTATACTGCCGAAGACCACGCTGGAGTACGACATCCAGTACGTGCCGAAAGATGATTCCTTCCACGCATCGAAAAAGGGTAAGTCTTTATATTTGCGTATTTTGCATGCGCGGCGTGTTTAATAAATTTTTTATATATTTTTATATAGTTTTATTTTCGGCGAGAACCGATGTAATTATAATTTTATTTGCATCCCCGTAATCTACGCGTCGCGTCGACGCAAGAAACGGCAATTTGAACTGAAACTTACGGGCGCAGAAAATTCTCGACGGTGTAATGAAACGATGCCGCATCGCGGCACGTCTCCGTAAGAAATTTCACTGAAGTTAAAAAACATCTCATGCTCGTTAATCTCACGGTTTCCTACACGTCAAAAATGATTTATTCCTGAAAACTCGCTCTCCGCTTTTCACACAGCTACAGTTCCACGCGAGCCGTAAAATGTTTTAAATGGTGCATAGACGTTTCTCTGACATAGGTTTAAAATATTAATTTATTTTAGTTGCGAAAACACGAGGTGTGTGCAACCGCAGAGCGCATATTTTTGCTAAAGTTTCCGTCGTGTAATGTTTACATCAAAGTATGATTGTTACCAAAGTGACAAGTACAGTTGATCAATTATGTCAGATTTCTTCCATGTAGAAACATTAAATAATTAAACCATTCGTCAGGGATATTCCGTTAAGCTACGTTTTTGCTGAAGTTTCCGTCGTGTAATGTTTACATCAAAGTATTGTTGTTATCAGAGTGACAAGTACGGTTGATCAGTTACGTCGATCAGATTCTTTTCATGTGGAAACATTAAATAATTAAACATTAAATAATTAATTTGTCAAGGATATGTCGTTGAGTTACGTTAAAACAAAGAGCTTATCGAGCAAAATACGTGATACTTATTGTTAGATAGAGAATAGTCCGAGGTATCCTGAATATTCTGAGAGTCCTTTTAGACACTACACGCGACGTAAGGCGTTACCGTAAAGCAAAATTTATCGTGTTGACGGCATGTATAAACCAGCCGAGAGTAACTGGCTTGCTTGCGCCTCGTCGTTATTAAAGTAGCATACACATTATTATCCGTCTCGTCTGTCGCTATCGGATACTCACCGTGGAGACAGATCGTTGTCTGTCCTGCTTCGTGGCACCCTTAAAAACGTATTACTTGTCTCTTAGCCGATGTACCAAGAAAATTTAAGAGACAATATCAATTTCGTTCGTTGAGATACGTCTCGCGGGAATTTCTCGATATAATTCCGACAACCGACTCCTTTTCCATATAGAAATCGTGAAGTCTATACTTTATTATTTTTATAAGAAGAGAAATCAAATCTGTAAGATGTGAAACAGCGTTTCCTTCTTGTTTGAGAAATATTTTTTAGCGCTTATCTTGGAAAAAATAAAACATACCGGAACTCGTTTCTTGGCAAAGCAATTGCAATGGTGTTGCAAATTAAAAACTCTTGTTTTATTTTTACACAAATGTTCGAAAATATTTTACTTTTGGAATCTACGATAAAATTCAATGTAGCTTTAAGTGATTTGTTCGATTGTTTTTATGACACGATTCTTGGAATCCTAAAAATCAATTGAGTAGATTTCTCCGTTTCTTTCTCCTTTGACAAATATTCCGTTGTATTTTTCTAATTTAAGACACAGCTGCGAGACACAGTGACATAGCAGATTGTTTTAAAATTGAGCTACATAAAACGTTAATCGAGCAAACGCTGTTATGTTTGTACGAGCAGCGGTACATGTTACGTGCAAATGTTATAACGATAACGATTGGATAAGTATGATTAGCGGTCTAAACCTTCGTCTAATATTGATGCAAGAAAATAGCTATCAGGTTGCCCCAATTATTTTCGTTCTCCGTGTCGCAAAGCCGTCAAACAATGAATGCTTTATAAGTAAAATTGTGTACCTTGCACAATCGAAAGGACACCATTAATATCTCAAAACTTATATCGTTGAAGATGATATCACATTCTTTATTCCTGTATACCTTAAATTCGTTATGCAGATAATAAGTATATTGATTATAATATTATATTGCTAACGATGTACTACGAAATTGAGAAGGCTTCTCTTCTTAACATGTTTTGAATATACAATATTTGAAAGAACTTTTTATGTCTTTTCGCATATACTAACTTTCACAACATGCAAGGTACATTTATGTGATCCGATTTCGTCAAATTCACTCAACGCAGCCAATAACTTACCTATACATAAATTTCCGTTTCTATTTTTCAAAATGTATACCTCTTTGGCACGATACTCTTTACAATTCAATTTCGCTTAGTTTATAATCAGCTTTATTTATGATATTTTCTGAAGAGCTTAATTTTTATAACTCATAAAATTCACGTTACATTAAAACGATACGCAAAATGTCTCCATAAAATTTTTATTATTTCATAATGCAGGGAATATTATTTTGTGGACTACACACAGAATTATATATGCACGTGAAAAGCAGGCGTAGTATGAAATTTATATTTTGCAGAACATCATTATAAAACCGGACTACGCAAATATGTATATTTAATTTAGCTCATTTTTTACGACCGACTTGCTTTCAATCAAAGACAGTTTTTTTTTTTTGACAAAAAAAACGGAGGGAGTATGCACTTCACCGAGCCAAATTGGTTGTTATGTATAAAACTCTCTAAATCACGAGAAGATAATTATTATACTTATATATCAGTATCTAAAATAGATATAATTAATTTTGTTACGTGAACACAGTAAGATTATTAACGAGAATTTATTTCCTGAACTTTAACTCAAATATCTTTGTATCGTTTGATAATTTTCTTAAGCTTTGATTATTTAAACGATTATTTAAACATACATAATTTATGGATGGCAAATCCAATTGGGATACCAACTTTGAACAATATTGTAACATGGATATACACTTTCAGCAACATGCAATAAACTTTCATCGACTTTCATTGGCTAATCTCTTGCCTCAGAATTGCCATGTCTGGATCGATAGAACGTATGCATGTATTGTCAACTGCTGAGGCAGGAAGCCACCTCGGAACTAGTCCGTGTCACAGCTCGCCAATAGTATGCCAGTGCTGTTGAGAGTTCTTTCCAGTGAGTTTTGATGGATCCATTTGTTCATGGATGACACGAAATAGTTGAATTTTCTATTCTGAGTGTATCGATTGTTCAACTTTCCGTCATGTACATGACGTTGAAATTATTACAGAACGAAGCACTGGCTTTCTGTGCTTCAATTTCAAATGGACTTTAAATTGAATGAAAATTTTATTTAATTTAACTTTATTGTCCAGTTTTATACAATGTAACTACGGTAGAATATATGTATATTGAACTGGAATAATTTTTCCCTGCTCATAATATAACAATATTCAGTGCTTTATGAACTAATTAGAAATGCATTATGAACGATTGGTGATATTAATATATTGCCGCTCAATTCCGTAAGATCCGTACGTGTGTGTGTATGTGTGTTTATGGTGTATGCGACGCGTCGCACAGGAAATTCGATCACCAGCTCCGTAACGCGTCCGCGTATAACCGTAAAAATCTAGAGCCATATACTTTTGGCGCAAATAACGCTATTCTGCGGCGCAACTACGACCGAAGCTCTGCCTCGATCTCGCTCGCTGCATCACCATCGCGCCTTTGCATCGCTCGTTTATACGGGCACGTGCTTCGACCCTATATATGTATGTACGCTTATGCAAATAATGCCGTGTCAGAGCTAAGCGACAAGTTAAGTATCAGCTCGATGGGCTCGTGTCTCGTTCGAGCTCTTTACACACGCGAACGTTCTCTTTTGTCTCCGGTACTTTAAGTAGTTTCGCCAAAGATTACGTGGAAAAATGCGCGCGCGCGCGCGCGCGCTGGTTAGATTAAATAAATGCGGCGTGATTCAGGAAAATTTAGACGCAGAATCGAAATGCCTGAATGTAATTGAAACGTTCATGAAGCAATTGGATCTTTAGAAGCCTCTTATTTTTGTCACTGACTTTTACTTTAGCTTAATTCATTTATATATTTGAATTAAGATTATATTCGTTTAAGAATTAGATTTTATCACTTGATTTGCTTATCTTTTCCCAATCGACAAAGTTACTCTTTATTTAAAATTTTTGCAAAAGACGGATCGATATATACGATATATCCACTAGCGAAAACGCTGTCAAAGTTCAAAGCAAACTTCACGGAATATGTAAACACATAATTTCTGAAGTTCTCGGTTGGGAGAGACCAAGCGTTAGCTCTACGTCATGTCGCGTGTTCGAGGGTTCCCTCGCGAACATGTCGCTCCTCTCGATTCTGCTCACGAGCATCTTTATACCGATAGTACACTCGATCTTCGATCTCCGATGCAAGAGTTTCTCGGTCATGATTGTATATATGTGAACACGTTCAAGCTGTATGCTCGAACTTTATCACGAATTATTTTTCATATCTGAAAACTTGAATCATCGAGAAAATAGCGGTCGCTGCTGCGACATAAGTTAAATGCTTTTATACAAACAAATTAATATAAGAGATTTGACATTTATATATTAATTTATAATAAATGTTTATGTAAATTTGAATTTAATAGAGAAAACTGAAAATCAAAATCGTCAAGTAGAATTAAAATCGGAACAAATCAGTGGAAGAAAATTACATAATTCCGACAAATTAAATAATTTCGCAGCGATGCGTCAAACGATAAATAGATATTATGTGAAGAAGTATCTTTATAGTTAATTCAATTTCCTTTGTTAAATGAAAACACCGCTGTAACAATATTAACGTACATTACATATGAACATAATTTACGTAAATTAATAGAGAGAGAGAGACAGAAGATTCGCAGATAAAAGTTGCATGAAATCCGTTTCACCGGAAAGAATGAGAAAAATGTGGAACGCGAAGGAAGATTTAAAGAAAAGCATCTGGCGGCCGCGGAGCATCATTACCGTTGAATGCAAAAACTCATTTGTCACGCGTAGGTTTCTTAGCTCACCAGCGAAACGCTATTGTCCCTCCCTCCCCTTTTCTCCCGCTCATCCCTCGTGCGTCATAAACGTCTAGTGTGCCGC